AATTTTTAATATACTTCGTACCTTAAAATATATTTTTAGAAAAATATAATATCTTAAATTCATTATTTTAGTGTATTCAATATCTGAAAATATTCTTTAAATTTTAATTTCATTAGTTTTCTTTAACTTTTGTATCTAACACTGTAAAACATATTTTTTTAGTAACACTCGGCATCACGAATTAATGAATTTTTAGTGCATTTAAAATTTTTTTTTCACTTATTATTTTTCAGTAGCATCTAATATTCTAAATTAATCAGTTTTTAGTGTCCACTAACACCCAATGCCCAATAAAAATTTGTAATGCATTTGCATGAGCTAAAAATTCATTGATTAATTTAGCATACTGAAAAATTTGTTTGTTTTTTTTTTTTTTTAAAGGATGAGTCCCATCTCCAAACGGTGCCGTCCAGGGAATGAGCATGCCCTGCTGATAGATGCAATGCGCAGGGCATGCGGCCTCGTCTGATGAGCCACATGATGGCATGATGCGGTCATTTTTCTTTTTTTTTTTTTTTTTAATTTTAATCTTTAAAGCTCCGTTCCGTTGGTAACTATGAAAATGACATTCTCTTTTAACCCGTTAAATGAATTAACAAAAATATTAAATCATATAATTCTGTCATAAAATTTAATAACTTTTAAATTTAATTCCTATTTTATATTTTTTTAAAAGAAAGTAACAATTAATAGCATAAGATATTAGGAATAAAATTATACATTTACACAATAAATTTAATGATATGACTTATATTAAGAAAAAAAAATAGCATTCTATCTGTCCTATAAATGGTATTCAAATTTGCAAAATAACTTAAATCCCTTGGAGCAAGACATTTTGGTGGGAAAAAAATGTGTTAGACATTTTCATCCATCACTTTATTTTGTTTTAACAACTAGGAAAATCAGGACTTGTGTATCACTAAGGAAATTTGAGAAAATTGTTGTATATCGTTGTCTTCTTTACAGGGACGTTTGTGTCATTTTGCATTAATATTTTTCAATTTCTTAAAATTATTTCAAGGTCAGGAAATGCATGGCATTTCAGCAGCTAAAATATGCACTTATTTTGTTGTTCCCAAAAAAAAAAATTCCGAACATCCTTTTTTTTAAGTTAATTGTACAAGGTTGCAACATCATCAAAAAAAGACAGCTAATTTAAGAGCAACTCTTCATTGAAAAAGAGATTAGATTCATTAATACTGAGGAAAGCGTTTCAAAACCAAATGATTTGATAGTAATAAATGATTCAGGTTCAAGTCCAATCGAATATCAATTACCGTTAGATGAGTACTTTCTCTTGCCATATCATAACTTTTCTTTGGGCAAAGGCTTTATATAGGAAGAATTATAATAAGATTTTTTTAAAAAATAAAATAAAATAAGTCTTAGAATCTATTATTTTTTATTCTAAAACTCATTAATTTTTTAAGTTGAGATCTTTTAGTAATTATTACAATGTTTTAGTAATTATTATTCTTCTAGTTTTATTTATAAGGTACTTTTAACATGTTTCATACATACCAGAAAAACTTTAAATTACATTAACTTTGTATTAAAATATAGCAATTTTCTAATTTTATCCTTATTTAATATATATATTTAAAAATAACTATCTATATTATGATAAATAAAGGATAATATAGTACATTTATAATAAAATTTAATAAAATGATTTAAATAGAATTAAAAAATATTCTTTCTCTACTCTATAAATAGGATCAGAAGATTATTTTTTAAGATGTCATTGTAATTTTCCGATTTAAATATGCAACCTGAAATGACTTGACATTAATAAATGAGTCAGGTGGAAGTCCAATCAAATATCAATTTTTTTGACCGGCAATCAAATATCAATTACGTTTAGATGTGTTTTGGCCCAAAAAAAATTACATTTAGATGTGTCTATCTCTCTTCATTAGATATCCATGTGAAAAGTACTTTCTTTGGGCATATTACAACTCTTCTTTGGGCAAGGAATTTAAATAGGAAAAATTATAATAAGATTTAAAAAAATTTTTTTAAAAATTGTTATTTTTATTCTAAAACTTACCAGTTGTTTAGGTTGAAACTTTTTAATAATTATTTTTCTCTTGAGACCTTATTAGATTGTTATTAAAATTTTTTAGTAACTATTTTTCTTTTTTAAGATCTCATTATAATTTTTTATTTAAATATACAATCTCATGCTTAAAAATTTAAGAAAATTGTATGGCATCATTGAATTATAAAGCCCCAACGTGCATGTGAGAGATATTTAATAAAAGATGCTTATGAAAATTACTTTAAAAATATCAACTGCTACCTCTACTTATATTTACAGGTGGTTTATATGAGAAATTCCCTTGATTCTATGTAAAAATAATTGGGAAGATGACAAACCAATACCTGTTAAATTTTAAAAAAATAAATAAGTTATGTTGACTATGAAGATTTTGACATGTCAAAATCTGTCAAAATTATCTATTTATCATTTTGAAATTGAACAGAATTTTTTTTTGTTATTTTTCTTAAATAGTTTTAAAAAATTAGCATGTTTTGGAACGTGATTGAAAAATCCTCTCATTTCTTCCTTACATTTAAAAACTCTCTCCTCCCTCCCTCCATATAAGAAGGGGTGAAAGTGAAAATTTATGATTAATTATCATATTAACTTCTTATTATTTTCAACTAAAATTTTGTTCTAGAAAACTTCCGAGAGTAGAGCAGTAGCGGGGGGCTAATTAATGAGGTGAGTGAGGAGTTCACTTAGGCTCAACCGTTTACAATTAAGAGGGTTGACAACTGTGGTTCCATTGCACTGACACCTACTCTTCCCTCCCACCCACAATCCTATTTATAAAGTAATAAAAAAATTTTAATCTTATTTATAAGTTATTTTATTAAATATTTAATATGAGTTTATTATTTTACTATTTATTTATTATATACATTATTATTTTCTTGAAAAATTGTTAAATTTTAAAACACAATTATTAATATTTAAGGTTTTTTTTCGGTTCTCAAGAAATATGTTGAAAGTGATAAATAGGATAAGAGAAGTATAAGGTATATCTAATTCTTTTATTAAGATTAAGGAGAGGTGATTAACTCATTAATTTTATTTGAAAGTTTTTTTTTAAATATGTGGTAGCAGGAATCACATTGAGGAAGTTATAGAAATTGCAATTAATGAGATTTTAAATGGAAATAATGTTTAAAAAATGTAATTAATATCTATTTGATGACTTATAATAAACATTATTTATTATTTTTTAATTTATTGTTTTTAAGAAGTGTTTTATAATGAAGATTAGAAGGACAATATTGGGAAGGAATGAATTTATTATCGATAAATAAAATAAAACTATAAAAATAGTACGATCATTTTAAATTTTGCATTGCACTTGACATGATTATTCGTTTTTGGTATAAGATTAATGGTACGTCTCTTGTTGGACAGGACAAGCTATGCAACGCGTTCTGTCAATTTCTTGAATAGTTTTGATTTATGAACCTCAAATGTACATATCATACTCAAGAAGGTACGTGACATGCGTTATGAAATCACACATGAAAAGTCAAAAATACCCCTATAGTAGCCTGGAAAGGCAAAAGTCAAAAGCACAGCCCTCTGCTTTCAATTTTTCAGATCCAATTTTGATCATATATTATATGAGTCATTTCTTTTCTTTTCTTTTCTTTATGGGTAATTTTGGTCATCTGCACCTCTTTTTTATTTCAAGAAATATTATTTGGATAATCTTCTGGTAATACATTTTCAGTCCTAAATATAAGACCTATTTTATAATATAAAATATATTATATTTAGGATAGAAGTAGTACTATTTTAACTCTATTTATAATTACTTTTAATATTTTTTCACAAAAATTAAAAAAATCAAATCTTATTTGCTCTGCATTAAAATTTAATAGTCATATGACTTTATTTCTATTGAATATATATTTTTTAACAAAATAACAATCTACATAATAATAAATAAAGAGTAAAATAGTATACTTATATTAAAAAATTTAATAATATGACTTAATATAAATAAGACAAAAAAATCTTCTACCCCAGTGTAATAAATAAAGCCAAAGCCAAAGGGTATGTCTTACAGACAAATCATCATTTTATACTTTCATATTTATCTCCATTCTGTATATTCCGATCTCTCGTTTGTGTTGGAAACTTTCTGTGCAATCCAAATGGGTTTGTTTCAGAACAGAGGCGCTCACTTTGGCAGTCCCACCAAAGTCGGTTAATTAATTACTCGGTTCAAACAAGATAATCTTGACCTCTTTTTACAGCTTTCACTTTCAAATACTAATCCTTAATATAATATTTTATTTTATTTTCATTTTGATCGTAATTATAAGATTTCAATATATTTTGTCTCTCATATTTATATATTTTTTTCTAAGACAGTCCTTTTAATAATGATAGTTCTAGATAAACTTGATTAGCAAGAATATTTTAAGAAAAACAATACCTATTTATTATAAATAACTAACCTTACTTATATTTTTAATTTTCTTAAATCAGTTAACTAATTCTTATAAGATGGGAGGCGGTAGTTGACAAACTCAACATATCTTCTGGAAACGGCCTCTTGTAAGTACATTCATGTCCGTTGCTTCATCACTGCTTTCTTCTGCCTCTCTCTCTCTCTCTCTCTCTCTTTATATTCACTTATAGCCTCACATTATCTTTTACCATTTCCCAGCCTCCACATACTCACAAACGCACAGAGATAGTGTTGTACACTTTCTTTGCTCACATCTGACACGTAAGGATTTTTCTTTCTCAGTTGCTTAAGATAATCATCCCTGGTTTGGTAGATAGTAGTATCAACTGTGTTGTCTGATTTGGTTTGTAGTGAGATTTCTACTGGTCTCAAGTGTCTGAAAGTTCCAGTGTTCACATAAGGATTTAGTTCTTTCTAGCTTTATTAGAATTCAGACACTGTAGTTTTGTTTGGTAGATCAGATTACATAAACTTTGCTTCTTAAGTTATGTAACAGACCTTTGAATTCTGAGATTCTGAAGTCTGAAACCAATGGAACGATTTTTCTTAATTTCCTGGTTGCTGGTAGTCTCACCCTTTGTTTCCTTAATTTGGAACCAACCCAACCCATCAGTATCTTTTGGTTTCTTTCTGTCAGATTCTAAAACCTCCTTTGCTTCATATAAGGATTTTCATTCTCTCCCAGCTAGCTGCTTATCAGAATCTGATGAAATTCAGAAACTTTTGTTGTTCCCATAAAGATTTTCGTTTCCTTCTTACTTGCTCAGAATATGATGAAATCTCAGAAACTTCCATTGCTCTCGTAAGAACTTTCTTTTCCTTCTTCTTAGTTTCTCAAAATCTGGTGAAATCTAAGAAACTTCCATTTCTGACATAAGAATTTTCATTTTCTTCCTAGTTGCTTAGAATCTTAAACCTCTGAAACTTACTTAAGGACCTTCTTTTGAGTCTGAACTCTCTGAAACTTCCATTTCTGACATTAGAATTCTCATTTTGTTCCTAGTTGCTTAGAATCTGAAAACTCTTAAATAAGTACCCTTTTTGAGTTTTAACTCTCGGAAACTTCCATGGCTGACACGAGGATTTTTCAATAGTTTGATAGAAGCATTCATGGAGGAAGAAAGGGAAGGAGATAACAATGGAGGGATCCGGGCGAACAGCAGCCTGAGGATGAGCATAGGGTCAATGAGCAGCAGAAGGAGCTGGGTTACTGCAAGTATGAGAGACACATGGAGTGGCCATGGAGGAGTGTTTGAGAGAAGCATGAGAAGAGAAGATGAAGATGAAGAAGAACTGAAATGGGCAGCCATAGAAAGGCTTCCAACATTTGAGAGAATAAGAACAGGCATGATGAAGAAGGAGAAGAAGAAGGAGCTTCGGGTTCTTGAGGATTTTGGAACTGTGGATTATGAACAGGTTGATGTCACCAAGCTTGGGATACAGGAAAAGAGGCATCTCTTGGACTGTATTCTGCAGAATATTGAAGAAGATAATCTCAAGTTCTTGCAGAGGCTCAGAAACAGGATTGATAAGTAAGTTTACCTCTTTCTTATTTTTCTGCTTGGAAATGCAAATCTGTTCATCTCAAGTTTGATTCTTGCTTTAGATTAGAAGGGAGAAAAACATTAAATTAATCGGAGTTCGCTGCTCAGGTAGGATTGGATGGGGAAGAATAATGGAAGAAAATGAAAGCCAATAATATATATTTTAATTTTAACATCTATTATTAAGTTGAGGGATACTCTTATTTGGAATGCGTTTGAATAAAAAAAGATGAAGGAGAGAGGAAAGTGAAAAATTACAATTTTTGATGATTTTTGTTGTTTAAATTTGGATATATATATAGTATAATTTTACAATATAGTTGGGTTGGAAATATTACTATAGACCTTAAGATTCTAGTTCATCTTCCTTTTCGTCTTTTTCTCTCAATCCAAATGTAAAGAAAATTCACTCTGGGACAAAGCTTGAAGACATGTGGATCATAATTTTCCTTCTTTTTTCACTTTATTTTAAAATCTAACACAAAACTAACAGTGGACGGTGTAACTTGCAAAACATACTCCCTCTCTTTTAACAAAATATTCTTTTTGGAGTTTTAATTAATTTTCAAAATATTTGTCGCCTTAGAATATTCAATGAATCCTTTCACGATTGTTATACTCATTTACCATTCGCTAATAACAGGTGTAGCATTTGAAACAAAGGTATTTACTACAAGGGCATTTTAATTTAATATTATGAAATTTTGGTATAATCTAGCTTTTGTATTAGGCAAAATGACATAAAAGATTGTGTAAATTACAAAATCTCAACTCAAGAATTATCTTAAAAAATGTCTTGTTGTTTGCCAGTCAATTATTGTGAAAACCTGTTCGAGTATTATAACGAATCGTGATTTGGAGTTTTGTAATTTTCATGGTTTTTATCTGTCATTTTTTCTGACAATTATTTTGAAACAAATAAGAGAATTTGTATGTGCACGTGTAAAATCACAACTTGAAGAAGTACCGGCTATTAAAAAATACTTTTTTGTAAATCAAGACAAATTTATTAATATATTTATTTTATACAATGTAAAATTATTTTTAAAAACAGGGTTTAATTTTCACCTAAACATTGTTGAGTGAAAGAGATTCAATGTCCTTAACTCAAACTCTTAAATTTGAGTTTTATGAATGAAAAATTATGCTATGAGAACTACTTCTCATTTATATTTCAATCTCACTCAAAATTTAAACTAGTTGATAATATCATATACATCGTTAATTAATATTATCAACTAATGTAAATTCAAGTACTGCTGAACTTTAAATAACTGGTACCATTCTAACATTATTTTAGAAAATTATCTATTGGTCCTAGTGAATATGGGTGTCTCAATTTATACACAGTATAAATAGATTTCAAGGAATTTAATATATACAAATTGAGTTACATCATTTATAAGTCAAATTTGTAGATACTAAGAGGCTATTTGGAAACGATGTAGAAAAAAGTTCTTTTGCATTTTATGGGATAAAATTTTTCTTATATATATTTCAAATTCACTTAAAATAAACTAATCTAAACACCCCTAATCTTTTAGAACTTGTTAGTGTTAAATAAATTTTAATATACCTGCTTGTGTTTAATTTAATTACCTAGGACCTATAGGTAATTTTTCCCATTTCTTTTTCTTTCTGCAATCTTCGAATTTTAATATTTATAAAAGAGCATTAATAATTTGATAAAACGATTTAAATATAAAAATATATGTAGCTTACTTTAGTTCAAATATAGTTTGATTTTACATGGACTAATTTTTCCTTCTCAACAACTTTAAATTTTGGTTTTGTTAAATAGGGTTGGAATAGAGATTCCAAAGATTGAAGTTCGATTTGAGCATTTGTTTGTAGAAGGAGAAGCATATATTGGAACCAGAGCACTTCCCACATTAGTCAATTCTACCCTCAATGCAATGGAGGTATTTTAATTTTATTAATTATTCAACACTAATTATTACAATAATTAATTTAATTAGTTATCTACTCCCTATGGGCTATTTCATCTAGTGGACCATTCTTCATTTGGCCACATAATGTTGACATTTCTTTTCGTTTTTCAATTATTAACTTTGAATCTCATCTAACTACCTTTCTTTCTTTTAATTTGCCCCAACCACTTCAAGTTCTTAATTGCAGACAGCAATTATAGGAGGCAGAAATCAGTTATAAAAAGAAAATAAAATGATATTTATATTTTTTTTTAATGGAAAGATGTAGTTTTTGTGCAGGACAGGAGTATTTAATTGTTGCTGGGCACATATATAACCAAAGACAGAAAATACAGACATGTGCATTAATGTCTGATACAAAGTGAAAATAAAAAATTGCTCCCCTGTATAATCTATTTTTGTCTATTTATATCAATTTACTTGCAGAGAATATTTTTAATTTTGAATATTTTTTAATTGAGGGGATGTAATTTGACTGATTCAATTATCGGATTTAAGTTGTTTAAATTCAAATTCAGACGGCTTAATATTTAGCTTTTACAAACTTACCATTGAAAGATATATTTTTTTAACTGTGTTACTTCTTATGAGACAAAAAAAAAATCAAAATGAAGTAAGTTTAATTTTTTTTTTGGTCACTTGTTTCTCTGGAAAACAAAGAATGAAAATCACAGGATTCAAGTTCATGTGCGTTGTGTTACAAAAGGGGGAAAAGTTCACGTGCTTTGAGTTTTGTGGTACCTAAGTAGGCTACCAAATTCCCCTTGAAGGCAGTTACTCCCATGATCCTTGGACCACAAAATAAAACAAATACTACCTCGATCTTTAATATAAGAGCTAGTTGTCTAGTTTGAACAGATTAATAAAACTAGCTAAGTTAGTTATTTGGAATAAACATATGTTGTCTTTCTTAAAATATCATTGCTAATCATGTAGACATTTAATATGTGCAACAACTACAAGAATTACCTTAAAAAAATGAATAAATATGGGAGATAAAGTGGATTGGAGTTTTTATATTTAGGATCAAATTAAATGTCAAACTAGTTCTTTTATGAAGAGTAGGAGGTAGTACATTAAATTCTTTTCGTTTTTTTTCAAACATCATTTTTCATCTGAAACATACATGTATATTTTCCTTTTTAAATTCCTATGTAGGTCCTTAAGTTAGATAAAAATTGCATTTACTTGAATAAACTAGCTGAAATATCATAAAATTGGAGCCCTCGTGATTCTTGACTTATAAGTCATTGATTGATTAAAAAAAGGCATTGCAATGAACTTAGCTTTAATATGCCTAGAATTGTTTTCCTATATATATATATATATTTATATATTGATGAATTGCTTCTTTCCACTGTTCTTGTTTGAGTAAACAGAATGTTCTGGGATCAATCAAGCTTTTCCCATCCAAGAAAAGGGTTGTCAATATACTTCAAGATGTTAGTGGAATCCTCAAACCTTCAAGGTGATTTTACAGACATCATCTCTATTATGTCACTCTCTAAATTCTTCATATTATTTCTCTCTTTTTTTTTAATATTATTTCAGTTTATATAAATTGTAGCTATTTATTTTTGGATAAGGAAATTTTTTGATCTACTGCTGTTGCTAGTATGTTAGTGAAATCAAATCTCGATTATGAGGTTTCAAAATTTGTGAAACAAGATCTTATGGTAAAATGATATATCCGAATAATTAGTTGCTTAAGAGTTTAATGACACAATGCAATCTATATAGTTGACTTCACTCGGTAGAAAGACTTATTACTGATGTCGAAGTTTTAGGGTTGAAACTTGGCATGATATTTCAGGCCAACCAAAAAAAAAAAAAAAAGCTTGACTTGATATCAAATTATTTAGAAATTATAATATAATAAAATTATTTATGAGCTTTTTGATCAATTAAGCAAAAATTAGTCTCAAAAGTTTCATCAACATTGCAGTATTTTGCTAACTCAGTCCTTATATCACACTTTTTTAGAATGACCTTGCTTCTGGGGCCTCCAGGAGCTGGAAAAACTACACTGCTTCAGGCTCTTGCAAACAAATCAGATAAAGACTTAAGGGTTAGTCATTCTTTTACTCAATTTCAATCACTTGTCCCCCCCCCCCCCCCCCGGGGGAATCATGCTTCTGAGATCCTACTTGAGAGTGATCTGAGGGATTGAATCTTTTAACCATTCAAAAAATCTGTAAAAAGGTAGCTGAACTTTACAATGATTGTGTATATCAATGCAAAATACTCCTAATAATATAATCTTTTAATTCATTAATTATGGCGTCTGTCTTTTTATGACAGACACGGAAATTACTATTTTCTGGTATTGCTGTTCCTAGTACACTCCATATACAGTTGCAAAAATGCATCTTTAATACACGCCGAGTATGTTATTTTGCAACTAGTAGTAGGATAAGCAATTTAGAAGCAAGGAATTGTTAAGTAGACTTAGTGTCCCTTAGTGTACATGAATGCTTTTACATGTCTCTTTGTGGTTGACATGAAGTTTTAGTTTTAGCACTGGACTGATCAAAATCAATCAACAGGTATCAGGAAGAATCACTTACTGTGGTCGTGAATTATCAGAGTTTGTCCCTCAGAGAACATGTGCTTATATAAGCCAACATGATCTTCATCATGGAGAGATGACGGTTAGAGAGACTCTGGACTTTTCTGCGCGTTGTTTGGGAGTTGGAACAAGGTATGAATTGTTGCTGGAATTGTTGAAACGAGAAAAGCAAACCCGAATCAAGCCGGACCCCGAAATAGATGCTTTCATGAAAGCCACTGCAACGGCTGGCCAAGAAACAACTCTTGTTACTGATTACATTCTCAAGGTTTAGTACCTCTATTTCCGTTGATATTTTTCCCCTTATTTTCTTTCACTAAGTCAGTATAGCTTGAGTTCCTGGTTTGTCTAACATATCCATAAAATGAAGACAGATTCTTGGACTGGAAACATGTGCTGATACTTTGGTGGGCGATGAGATGAGAAGGGGCATATCTGGTGGAGAAAGGAAGAGATTAACTACTGGTATAAGAAATAGTGGGCAAAATATACTTTTGGTCTCTTAATTCCATATGAAAATAAGAAATGTCAATTCTTTTTTTTTTTTTTTGGCTTTAGATGTAAATCTGCAAGAAAATCTTTGAATACAAGTTGAAAAATAAAGAACAAAATTAAAACTTGTAACTTCATGCCAGTCTTTCTACATCATTATTGGCTCTAGTTTCATCCCTTTATATTCAAAAACATTGTCAGTGTTCCTCCTATACGTGATTTGTAAGATGACATCAGATAATTTTGGTAGTGATCTCCACAGATATAGGTTTAGGTAAAATGTCAACAACATTTCCAATTGATTGGAAACATTTTGAACGGAAACTTCAGGTAAAAAAGTTGCATAATTAGTCTGGTGAATATTGATTTGCATTATAGAACTACCTATTTTGCTATCTTTCACTTAAATAGTAAGATCAAAATATTGATGCAGGTGAGATGCTGGTTGGGCCTGCAAAAGCTTTCTTTATGGATGAAATTTCAACTGGTTTGGATAGTTCCACAACCTTTCAAATTGTTAGGTCCTTGGGACAGATGGTCCATATCATGGATGTTACAATGTTAATCTCTCTTTTGCAACCTGCACCAGAGACCTACGACCTTTTTGACGACATAATCTTACTTGCAGAAGGCCAAATAGTATATCAAGGCCCACGTGAAAACATTCTCAGTTTCTTTGAAAGTGTTGGTTTCAAATGCCCAGAAAGAAAAGGAATTGCAGACTTCTTACAAGAAGTCACTTCCAAGAAGGACCAAGAGCAATACTGGTTCAGAAGGGACAAACCTTACCAATACGTTAGTGTGCCTGATTTAGTAGACCACTTCAACAAGCACTACATTGGTCAGAAACTCTATGGAGAGCTTCAGATTCCTTATGACCAACAAAAAACTCATCCAGCTGCATTGGTGACAGAGAAGTATGGTGTTTCAAGATGGGAGCTTTTCAAGGCTTGCTTTGCTAGAGAGTGCCTCCTGTTGAAACGAAACTCCTTCATATATATATTCAAGACAACTCAAATTATAATAATGTCTTTGATTGCCTTGACAGTATTTTTGAGAACAGAAATGAAGTATGGAAAACTTGAAGATGGGACAAAATTCTTTGGTGCTTTGTTTTTCAGTCTTATCAATGTCATGTTCAATGGCATGGCGGAACTTGCACTCACCATTTTAAGGCTCCCTGTTTTTTTCAAGCAGAGAGATTTCTTGTTTTACCCTGCATGGGCTTTTGCACTGCCCATTTGGGTCCTTAGAATCCCTCTCTCTTTGATGGAGTCAGGATTATGGGTCGTCCTTACTTATTATACCATTGGATTTGCTCCTTCTGCTAGTAGGTACGTATCAACTGAGATAGAAAAAATTCATGGGTTTCATTTCACATCTTGACATCTTGAGTCAGAGTAGTTCTTGACAAGGTATTAGAATCTTTATGACTAACTTGTCAAGAGATCCATCCATCCATGTCACCTGGTCCTCCACAAAAATGACAGCTTTAATCGCAAATAATTGAGTTAGATCATATTCTTCTGCAATTTTTTTAGTATGATTGTATTTCAAACTATAATAGATGGTGAATATAGAAAAAATATATTTCAGGTTTTTTCGTCAGTTTTTGGCATTCTTTTGCGTGCATCAAATGGGTTTATCCCTTTTCCGCTTCATTGCTGCACTCGGAAGAACACAAATTGTAGCAAACACACTTGGTACCTTCACACTGCTACTTGTTTTTGTCCTTGGTGGTTTCATCGTTGCTAAAGGTAAGCAGGAGTCTGTATTTTTATTTCCACTTCTGCTTTGCTGGTCAAAAAAAGCATGAAATAAAATAAGTTTACCTACCTTCAACTTTAGCTTTTCTGTGAAATGGATATTTATCTGATATCGTAGTTTCTCTAACCAAGTGATAAAAAGTTCCATACTTAAAATTCTTAGGTCTTTATTGAAGAACTTAAACTTTCAAGTGAAATGGTTCTTGACATGGTATGTGAAACTTGGGTTTTTACCTTCACAGATGACATCAAACCGTGGATGATATGGGGCTACTATGCTTCTCCTATGATGTATGGACAAAACGCCATAGTCATAAATGAATTCCTTGACAAAAGATGGAGTGCTGTAAGACACTTTAAATGTGAAGACAAGTATTTCTCTGGCCTTGTGAAATTGCTTTGCTGATAGTTCATTTCTGCATATTTATGCTTTTCCACAGCCTAATATAGACCCAAGAATCCCTGAACCCACTGTTGGAAAGGCTCTTCTCAAGGCTAGAGGGATGTTCACTGAAGAATATTGGTACTGGATCTCTGTTGGTGCTCTTCTAGGCTTTTCTCTACTTTTCAACATTTGTTTCATTGCTGCATTAGCATTCTTGAGTCGTAAGTAACCATATTAATCTGCCTTCTATCGCATTAATACATGACTTCATTTTCGAGACTGGCTTAAAATATCAATTTGCAGCATTTGGAGATTCTAAATCTATTACTGTTGAGGAGGATGTCAAAAGGACAAGCATGACGGGATCATCATCCATTGAAATACAAGAAATGAAAACCACAGGAGATAGCTCAGCTTCAACTAAGAACTTGTTTGAAGGTAATGAATCTCACGTTTGGTTCATTGGTTGTCTTACAGATACATTGCTCGAAAGATTTACACTGTGATTTTTTGCATGTTCCATCCCTTAATGCTTCTGGGGAAGTTTTATCCATTTTGGAAATTGAATCAGTTGCAATTTACGCAAACCTCATATGGCTATAAGATATTCCCTCTTTATTACCAACTGCTGGTAATTATACAGGCATCAACATCCAAGACGGTTCAAATCCTAAAACAGCGGAGAGTGCAACAACTAAGAGGGGAATGGTCTTGCCTTTTCGGCCCCTATCACTTGCTTTTGATCACGTGAATTACTACGTTGATATGCCAACTGTAAATTTCTACACTCTTGTCTTCTTTAATCATCTTCTCAAATTATTATTGACTTTAGATATAATAGAGATAGAGATTCACTCAATAAAAATTATTCACCACTTTTGGCGTTCTTATTTAGTTTATTATTTATGGGCACTTCAAAAGAGGAGTTGTTTCTCATATTAGACATGACACACGCCTTTAAATTGCTAGAGGACATTTCAAATTTTATCACGAGGCTCTGCTCAGGTGGTGCTTTATATCCATATTAGCATTCTCATTAGTTTACTAGTTGGTCCATGTATCTAGGCTAGCTAACTTCCTTTCTTTATGTTCACATTTGTCGCTAAAAGACAATCTAAACTTTAAACTAAGTATAACACAGGCAGTTTGAAAACCATTGGCTGAATTAAGTAATCATGACAAGAAGAGTTTTCTGCTACACACATATTCATATGATAATTGGTGTTTTTGGAATAAAATATGATATTAATGATCCACGATCTTTAATACTTGGCAAGTTTTCCTGTGATAGGAAATGAAGAAGCAAGGAATTGAAGAAAATAGGCTTCAGATTCTACGCAATGTTAGTGGCGCTTTTAGACCTGGAGTTTTAACTGCACTAGTTGGTGTCAGTGGTGCTGGCAAAACTACTTTGATGGATGTTCTTGCGGGAAGAAAAACTGGTGGCTATATAGAAGGAAGCATCAGTATTTCTGGTTTTCCAAAGAACCAAGCAACTTTTGCTCGCATCAGTGGTTATTGTGAACAAAATGATATCCATTCTCCACATGTCACAGTCTATGAATCTCTTATATTTTCTGCTTGGCTGCGTCTTGGTAAGGAGGTGAATAGAGAAACACAGAAGGTATTGCTTTATTCTTACCAGAGGTTATAATAGCATAACTCATGAATTTTCACTTGACAGTGAAAGTATATATTCTATTATTTTATACAACATGCAAGGTTCAACTAATATGTCATGATTTATCAGTGAAAGCAAATGTATAGTGACTACTAACAAATTAAAATTACTTTCTTGCAAATTTGGACATCAACTCCAACACTATGCTTCAATTACTGGTCATGTTCTAGCTAATCTTCACCTCTGTTGCAATTGTTATCAATACGACTATTGTTAGATGGTTTTCTTTCTGTGTTACAGATGTTTGTTGAGGAAGTTATGGAGTTGGTTGAGCTACGTGCAGTGAAAGATTTTCTAGTAGGACTTCCAGGAATAGATGGTTTGTCAACTGAGCAAAGAAAGAGACTCACCATTGCTGTAGAATTGGTTGCCAATCCTTCTATAATCTTCATGGATGAGCCAACATCTGGCCTCGATGCTCGAGCTGCAGCCATTGTTATGCGTACCATTAGAAATACAGTGGACACAGGGAGAACCGTTGTTTGCACAATTCATCAACCAAGCATTGACATATTTGAAGCTTTCGACGAGGTACATGACTTTCAGGTCTAGTTCTGTTGTGTTTGTTATATAAAGCTGGTAATGCAGGCCAACTCCCCGGGTATTATCAATTTGTGGAGCATGTATCATATTTTTAATGATTGTCATGAAGGAACCGTTCTTAATCCATCTCATCTTTCTTTTAGCTGCTTTTGATGAAGAGAGGAGGACAAGTCATATATAGTGGTCCCCTTGGTCGAAATTCTCAGGACTTAATAGAATACTTTGAAGTGAGTATGACTTTTTGACAATGCATATAGTAATTTGTCAATAATAATACAAAATCCACGTGTTTGTTTTGAGTAAAAACCCATGGAGAAACCCTTTTGAAATGTTCAGGTCATTCCATCAGTTCCTAAGATCAAAGATGGAATCAATCCTGCCACGTGGATGTTGGAGATCACTTCTACGGCAGCTGAGTCTCAGCTAGGTGTGGACTTTGCAGAACTGTACTCCAAGTCAGAATTGTATCAGTGAGTAGTAGTAGCCTTTGTGTCCTTTTTTGTACCAGAAATTAGGAACACATTTATACAATTTTTTAATAAATTTTAACGTGTTTAGGAGGAACCAGAAACTTATTAAAGAGCTAAGCACTCCAGCACCAGGAGCAAAGGATCTATACTTCCCAACTAAATACTCCCAGGCATTTGTAACTCAATGCAAAGCTTGCTTCTGGAAACAACACTGGTCTTATTGGAGAAATCCACAGTATAATGCCATCAGGTTGTTCTTGACAATAATTGTTGGCGTCATTTTTGGGCTCATTTTCTGGGACAAAGGCAATGAAACGTAAGTTGTTTTCCTTGATAGTAATGTACTTGTGCAATGGTACCTGTTAATTCTTCATTGCTTGGTCATTAAAACTAATACCATGTTAACATTCTGCATGTTTTGTTGATTAATTGGTATTCTTATAAACTTAGAATTGTATGTGACATCTCTCTCACACCCTTTTTGGATGACATTTCAACAATATGTTTGTTAGACCCTGAATGAGAAATAATTTCAGACTCATGAATAAAGCACATTTTGTCTACAGACAAAGAGAACAAGAACTGTTCAATCTTATGGGTGCTATATTTTCCGCTATTTTCTTCCTTGGAGCCACAAACACTTCTGCTGTCCAACCTGTTGTTGCAATAGAAAGAACAGTTTTCTACCGAGAAAGAGCAGCTGGAATGTACTCAGCTATCCCTTATGCATTTGCTCAGGTAAATTCAACTGATCCTCTTACTGCAAGAAAGAAGGCCAAATTATTTGTGAATGTGCCAAGTTGATCTCAGCAATTCTTGTCTTCTTCAGCTTCTTTATGTCCCTTTGCTTTTTAATGGAGGAAGTTGAAAAGAAATGTACCTTTTCTCTGTGATGATCCCTGATGCTGACAAATTTGATACAATGTGCAAACAATTTCATTGCAGGTAGCTGTAGAGATGATTTATGTGGCAATACAAACTCTTGTTTATAGCCTTATCCTTTTCTCAATGATTGGGTTCACCTGGCATGTTGACAAGTTCTTGTGGTTCTATTACTTTGTCTTCATGTCCTTTGTCTACTTCACACTTTATGGGATGATGACCGTAGCTCTAACACCAAACCACCAAATTGCTGCAATTGTTATGTCCTTCTTTCTCACTTTCTGGAATCTCTTCACTGGTTTCATTATCCCAAGAAAGGTATTTACTTTCTTTCTTCACTTCCATACACTTTCCACACACTAAGGACACCGACTGACTTCCGTTTCAGTATCATAGTGCCTATTGTTCAACTATTCTTTATCTCTTGCCATGATATTTGATCATATATACAATTTTTCAGTAGAAATAGTTCAATACACAGCTGAAAAACAGAACATTCACTTAAATGATGCTCCCTCTGGCCTTGAACATATTTGTTCTTTATATTTGAGACCAGATAAGAATACCGGTATTAGCAGTTTGATGGAAAAGTCTGAATTACTCAATATAATAATGAACATGAGATTGCATGAAGCACAAATTTCGATGAGGTTTTTCGTTTTTGCAGCTCATTCCAATATGGTGGAGGTGGTATTACTGGGCAAGCCCTACAGCTTGGACCGTGTATGGCCTTGTTACTTCCCAAATAGGAGACAAAACTAGTCTTGTAGAAGTTCCTGGATCAGCACCAATATCAGTAAAAGAGTATCTGAAGAAACAGATGGGCTTTGAATATGGTTTCCTGGGTGCTGTTGCTGTTGCTCATGTTGCTTTTGCTGTTGTATTTCTCTTTGTATTTGCTTATGGCATCAAGTTCCTTAACTTCCAAAAACGGTAAAGGAGTTTTAGGGACATGAGAAGTGAACAGAAAAGAAATATTTTTACTCTCTCTCTGTATACTAACTGCTGTCACAAGAAGTGCCATATGCCAAAGGGCATATCCCAGACAAAAAATAATAAAATCAAATAAAATCAAATCAAAGTATATAGAAATTGATCAGCAATTATACATATGCTATTCAATTTCCAAGTTGATCTCTGATGTTGGATTATTTTATTGCCTTTAATCTGTTTGAGAAGTGGTTTATGTGCTTATTCGAACTTCAAAGCACATATATTGAAGTTAAATTAGTTACTGTAAAAAATTTTAAGGTCTAATTACATTTTATTAATTAATTATAATGCCTTTCAGAAACCAGAAGAGGGGGAGGAGCTGTACTAATCCCACTATGACTGATTATAGGCTTTTGTACAGTTCGCGAGTTTGGCCAACTATTCAGCAGCAGTACAAGTTCTCTTGTTTGTTAGTAATTAATGTTCCTTTCAGTCCTGAATGTAAGAACAATTAAAGAATTTGCTTTGTTTTTAAATATAATATTTTAATCTGTTTTGCCCCCAAATTAATTTGTCTTTCCTAAATTCTTTCTATTATTGCACATAATAAAATGGTATCAAGGGAGCATTTTTTCAATACAAACGATTAAAAAGAATATTTTAGAAAAAGTAAATTTTTTTCTCCAAATAACCAACTTAATTAGTTGTTTTAATATTTATAAATTATTTAACTCTTATTATCGAAGGTACTATATATTTATATTTATCAGCTTGAATGTCTCATTTCTAATTTTCAAAACGAAAAAAACCACGGATTGAGATTCCATGGGAATGCCCTTTATCAACCCTACTGAATGTTTGATCAATATACCCAACCCTTCCTTCTCATGAACTCAGGCGTATCATGCAATTTATGTCTTGTTCTTTTAATTCTTTTCAGTTTATTATTTTTATTATATAATATAATAATTATGGATTTGCTTTTGAAAGTATAATTTAATTCACAGTATATTATCTCTTAACCTATGGAGAAAAAAATAAATTATTATGCGATGCCTTTTATATTATATTCTAAATCTAATGACTTAGGAAGTACTTTTAATTTTAATTAATGGATAATTTGTGTGCTGTCACATGTATAGTGTCTCTTATTGTACATCTAAATTAAAATACGAAATTTGAAAGAAAAAATTATTTAAGTTTCTTAAACTAGCTACCAATCTGTATTTTTATTCTATCAAAATATAGAGCGATTCATGTACCTA